CACACCCCCTTCAGGGTGGGGGTCCCCACTGGGGTGCCTGGCCAGCCTGGGTGAGGGGCTGAGGCCATTTTCAGGCTGGCCACACCCCCTTCAGGGTGGGGGTCCCCACTGGGGTGCCTGGCCAGCCTGGGTGAGGGGCTGAGGGCTGTTTTCAGGCTGGCCACACCCCCAGCCCCTCCTTGAGAGGAGGCCACGCAGGCTGGAAGCAGGTATCTGGGATTTATTTATCTTCTATAATTGAAACTTTGTAGCCTTGAGCGGAGCTCAGGTCCGTCAAGGGCAGGCGGGAAGTTTGACTTCCTCCATCACTGGGGCAACCCAAGCCTCCTGCTCGCTCCAGCTCCGTGGCCGCCACCATCTTTGTGACGGAGTGAGGGTGTGATGGTTAATTTGCATATTACTCTTTTATTAGATAGGATTGTTAATGAATTCTAATGAAATATCCCTATCTTCCTACTGCACAATGTAAATGTACTTTTCCTGATAATTCATATATTAAGCAATTCTTCATTCAATCCTCTTAATTTCCTTTCCAGGTCACTAAAATTTGAATCAACTTGTAAAAAGTAACACTAAACCCCACTTCACAGCAAGAAACCACACAAACCATGTTCACATGTTAGACACCTACAAGGTTCAATTTTTATGTGGCTTTTAAGAAGCCACACAAGTTGAAAGGGGGCATGGGGAATGAAGATCTAAACTTTTCAAACATAATAGAAAGCACACCTAGTCTAAGATAAACGGAAGATTCTCAAAAAGAAATATCTCAACTTTCCATCCCTAAAATTTCCCATTCCCCAAATAATCCACTTCAAACAAATAATCCTCTGAAATGTCTTTAAGTCATACTATTTCAGCTTTCATCATCTTAGAGAAGGCAGCATATAACAGTGGTTATTATATACTATTCTTTTACTATTTATATATGATATATATTATTCAAGCTGCATGTTATTATACATTTGTCAAAACCAAAAGGGTATAGTAAAACTAACTAGATGTAATTACTAATGTTACCAATTTTTAGCTCTGAACAAGTTACAATCTTCCAATGTCCATTTCCTTGCCTCTAAAATATCAACTACCTTAATCCACTTTGTGATAATCAAAGGAAATAATTTACTTAAAATGGTTTAGCACAATGCCTGGCACAAAGTGATTACATGTAAACATTTGCTACTTAAAACTATAAACGTGCCCCATTCCTCCAGAATTAACTTCTGGTCAGTCTAATTTTTACCCTGTTGACACTATTCTTCAAGTCCAAACATTTTATTATCTGCTACTACTATACGGTAAAGGTTATTACTATAGGATTATATGGGACAAATAAGTACACTTGCATTTTTTTAAAATAAAAATCTCTAACTTTAACAGTTCTTAATATTATCTTAATATACTAATGGATACAAAAGACATAATGTATAAATATCAAAATCTCTGGGCCTGCAAACTTCACTGAAAAAATAAAAATAACATATCCTGTCTCTATAAGCAATACAGAATATCGGCTTTATATTCAAATTGATGACCCCCAAATGACCCACATTACCAATATATGTTGCAATTTGCAGATTTTTTAAACCAGAATTGACCATACTATAGCATATCTACTTTTTAATCCCTGCATTCCCTAGTAATGCTATAAGACAAAGACAGAGAAACAGAAAAAGCAACCTAAGAGTTGAGATTTAATCAGGAAATAGCAATACATCAGAACATAAAAATAATTGCTTTTTATTTTCTCCCATCAATTACAGGTAATAGAATAAGAAAGAAACCAGAATATTATTTATCCACATTTTACCAATAGTTTGAAAAATAGCATTGTAGTCAATATTGATATTAGTACTATTTATAATAAAAACTAAGTCAGTCAGTTGCTATATATTAACAAGTATCAAGTATAGCAGTTAAAAGTAAGGGCTCATGAAAAGACATGAAGAAAACTTAAATGCATATTACTAAGTGAGAAAAGTCAATCTCAAAAGGCTACATACTCCATAATTCCAAATACATGACATTCTGGAAAATACATAACTATGGAGACAGTAAAAGGATCAGTGGTTGCCAGGGGTGGGGGCAAGGGGAAATGAATAGGGAGAGCACAGAGGATTTTTAGGGCGATGAAACTAGTACTCCATATGATACTATAATGGTGGCTGCACGTTATTATACATTTGTCAAAACCAAGAGAGTGTGCAACACCAAGAACTAACAGAAATGTAAACTTTATAGACTTCAGGTGGTAATGATGTGTTAATGTAGGTTCATTAATTGTAATACATAGCTCTAGCTGGTTTGACTCAGTGAATAGAGCATCAGCCTACAGACTGAAGGATCCTGGGTTCAATTCTGGTCAGGGGCACATGTCTAGGTTGCGGGCTCAATCCCCAGTAGGGGACGTGCAGGAGGCAGCCAATCAGTGATTTTCTCTCACCATTGATGTTTCTATCTCTCCTCTCGCTCCCTCTCCCATCCTCTCTGAAATCAATAAAAATATTTTTTAAAGTTAAAATGTACTTTAAAAAAAATTATAATAAATATACCACTCTGGAGGGGGATATTGATAGTGGAGGAGACTATGCATGAGTAGGGAAATACAGTATATGGGAAATCTCTGTACCTTCAACTTGATTTTGCTGTGAAACTAAAACTATTCTAAAAAATAAAGTCTTAAAAAAAAACATTTTAGAATAAGGGCTCTGAAGCCAAAAAGATGTGCTTAGAAATTAACTCTACCTCCCTAGCCAGTTTAGCTCAGTGGATAGAGTGTAGGCCTGCAGACCAAAGGATCCTGAGTTCGATTCTGGTCAAGGGCACATACCTTGGTTGCAGGCTCCTCCCTGGCCTAGGCCCTGGTCAGGATGCAAGCAGGAGGCAACCAATCGATGTGTTTCTTTCACATCGATGTTTCTCTCTGTCTTTCCCTCTCTCTCCCACTCTCCCTAAAAATTAATGGAAAAATACCGAGTGAGGATTAACCAAAAAAAAAGGAAAGAAAGAAAAGAAATTAACTCTAGAACCTAAAAGGTGGGGTGACTCTGGACAACTCCTTAATATCTCTTAACCTTAGTTTCCTCAGCTATAAAATGGAGATAGTAAATAGTACCCATGTTAGAGGTGTTAAAAATTTAAGTGAAATAAAGCAGTTTAAGCAATTACCATGCCCTAAAACACAGGAAAAGTAAATAAATGTTAGCTTTTATTAAGTTTTAAAAGTCCTACAACTATACTAACTTTAATTTTAAACTAATGATTTTAGTTGGACATTCTATTTAATACAGTATTAATGAAATGAGTAATTGATGAACAAAGCTTTGTTAAGAAAAAATGTGGCTAACCCTTTGATGAACGTTTTTAACAAACTATCAGGACCCTGCCTTCATAATTAGCCCATAATGATACTTCCTGATAATCCCAGTATCAATTATTATTCTCATTATATTTTACTATATATAAATAGATACAAATAAAAATATAGACATACAGATATGGAGGGGTAAAATATAAAGGTAGTATAATGTTCTGCTTAAGAAAATGAAATCTGAAGTCAAATTTCTTGGCCTCATATACAGCACTATACCCAGCTTACCTAGCTGTGTGACTTTGGGCAAGTCACTTAACTCTCTGTTCCTCAGTCACCAAACTCTAAAGTGAATATAACAACTACATCATAATAATAAGTGTATAGAATATTACCTAAAACATAAGTCTTATTTAAGTGTTAAGACAGAATAAAATATAGTTTTAGTTCTTTTCTTTAATTAAAAAGAAAAGGCAGGTCAACTAACCTTTAATTTCTTCCACTGAAAGTTTATCACATATTTGTTTCTCGTATGTTTCTATATGTTCTAAAGATTCCTGAAATAGATCTGCTTCTCGCATCACTTGATTCTGGTATAATATCAGTTCACTATATTCATAGTCAATTTTGTTGAGAGGAACCTAAAAATAGAAAGGACCAAATTATCATGTTTATATAATTACATAAAGCAATTTCAGATCTTTAATTTCACTGCTTTCTAAGGAAAGCAATTCACACAGATTTAAAAAAGCAACCCATGAACAATTATAAATAGAAGAGTAATTAATAGAAAAGATTAATACATTCTTTAAAATAAATACTAGTAAAGGGATAGGACTCTGGTATAGAGCAAATTGAACAGGTCCTATACACCCAAAAAAGTATAAAAATTGGTTAAAATCCTAAGGAATCTACATTAAAAAACTTACTAGAACTCATCAAGGAGTTAGGCAAGATGACAGAAAAAATCAATATACAAAATCAATTATATCTCTATATTATAGTAACAACCTGAAAATTAAATAATTTCATTCACAATAGCACCAAAACGAACAAGATATTTAGGAATAAATTTAAGAAACAAGATCTAAACACCCTCCCCCCTCTCCCGTGGGTAGGGCTCAGTGGTTAAGCATTGACCTATGAACCAGGAGGTCACGGTTTGATTTCTGGTCACGGCACATGCCAGGGTTTCGGGCTCGATCCCCAGAAGGGGCGTGCAGGAGGCAGTTGATCAATGATTCTCTCTCATCATTGATGTTTCTAACTCTCCCTCTCCCTTCCTCTCTGAAATAAATTTTAAAAATATTTTAAAGTAAAGAAATAAGATCTATATACTGAAGACTACAAAATATGCTGAGAAATTACAGACAAACCTAAATAAACGGTGAGATAGTACACTCCACAGTAATGGATCAGAATACTCAATGTTTTGATGGCAATTCCAAATTGATCTATAAATTCAATGCAATCCCTACCAAACTCACAGCAAGCCTTTTACAGAAATTTATAAGCTAATCCTAAAATTCAAATGGAAATAAAAAGAACCCTACATGGCCAAAAAAATTTGAAAAAGAACAAAGTAGGAGGACATGTGTTTCACATCTCAAACTTACTACAAAGCTACAAAAATCAATGCAGTGTGGCACTGGCACAAGGATACTCATACAGATCAGAGGAACAGAATAAAAGGTCCAAAAATAAGCTAGTATATTCTGGTCAACTGATTTTTTACAAAGGTGCCAAGGCAATTCAATGAAGGAAGAGTAGTTTTCTCACAAATAATAGTGGAACAATTAAATTAAGCATGCAAGAAAAGACCTTAGACTCATAATTCATACCATACACAAAAATTAACTCAAAATGGATCATACACCTAAATGTAAGCAATAAAGTATAAAAGAAATCTTAGAAGAATAGAAGAAATTCTTTGTGACCACCTGTATAAAAGAAAAAAATTAATAAATTGGACTTCATCAAAATTAAAAAAATTTTCTCCTTCAGAAGACACCATTAATAAGATGAAAATACAAGCTACAGATTGGGAGAAAATATTTCCAAATAATATACCTGATAAGGAACTTGTATTAAGAATATATAAAGCACTCTTACAACTCAGTTGTAAGACAAATAACCCAATTTAAAAATGGGCACAAAATTTGAATAGATATTTCATCAAAGAAGAAATATAAATGGCTAATAAGAACATAATAAAATGGTCAATATCATTAGTTGTTAGGAAACTGTAACAGGAAATGAATAAGCTATACTTGTAGAAAACTACCCATATTTATCTTAGCAAATGTTAAACCCAGCTTGTTACTCTAACCTGATTTTTCTCAAAACAAGAGCTTACATGTTAAAAGTTTTTTTTTAGTATACTTCACAATCCAGCAGTTTCAGTTCCTGTGTGAACCTAAGGAGCAGCCTGACCTTCAAGGCTCTGGTTAATGCCAACTGCCCAGACACAGGAATTCACTGACCAAAAAAAAAAACAGATGGCCAACTCAAGGATGCTGAGTTAAAAATCCATATCAGGACCAGCAAGGACACTGCCTGCATATCTACAGCCCCTCCCCGATCTCTGTTCTGCTTTCCTTCTCCCTCCTTTTAAAAACCTCTGCCTGCAATAATATCTTAAGATGGGTTTTTGAGGACTGGGGAGAGTCTCCCATCTTCTCAAGATGCCAGCACCTGTCTCACAAGTTTGGCTTTCATTGCTGCAGGCAGAATTCAGATTTCAGTTACAATACATGAAAACAGATACACATCCATTAAGATGACTATCATCAAAAAATCAGACAATAAAAAAAATTAGACAATAACTGGTGTTGGGGATGAGTAGAAATTGGAACCCTCATACATTATTGGAGGGAATACAAAATGCTTCAGGAAAACAATTGGGCAGTTTATTAAAAAGTTAAATGAAGCCCTGGCTGGTGTATCTCAGTGGTTACAGCGTCAGCCCAAGCAACAAAGAGTTGCAGGTTCAATCCCTGGCCCCAGTCAGGGAGCATGAAGGAAGCAATCAAAGTGTATCTCTCACATCAGTATTTTTCTCTTTCTCTTTTTTTTCTCTCTCTCTCTCTCCCCACCCCCTTTTTCTCTTTCTCTCCCCTCCCTCCCTCCCTTTCACTCTCTCTTGCAGTTGTAAAAAAAAAAGAACTCTTACCATTTGCAACAGCATGAATGGACCTAGAGAGCATTATGCTAAGCGAAATAAGCCAGTCAGAGAAAGGTAAGTATTACATGATCTCACTCATATGTGGAATCTAATGACCAACATAAAATGATGAACAAAAATAGACCCAGAGACATAGAAACGTCAAACAGACTGTCAAACCATAGAGGGAAGGCAGGAGAGAGTGTAGCGGGGGCGGGGAAGAGATCAACCAATGAACTCATATGCATATATGCATAACTCAAGGACACAGACAGTGGGTGGTGAAGGCTTGGGGAAAAGGGACATATGTAATACTCTCAACAATGAAGATTTATTTTTAAAAAATCAATGGAAAAAATATTCTCAGGTGAGGATTAACAACAACAAAAAATGTTATGGTACTTCCGGACATGGACTAAAGTGTAGTTATGAAAAAATAAGTATGCCCTTTATGTACTGAAAGGGAAGACACTCCCAAATAAATCAAGTGGAAAAATAACAGTGGCTCTAGTACAGGGGTGGGCAAACTGTTTGACTCGAGGGCCACAATGGGTTCTTAAACTGGACCGGAGGGCCAGAACAAAAGCATGGATGGAGTGTTTGTGTGAACTAATATAAATTCAAAAACATCATTATTACATAAAAGGGTACGGTCTTTTTTTTTTTAGTTTTATTCATTTAGTTTGCCCACGGCTGGGCTAGTGGTTAGGAGCCTGCGCTCCCAGATTGTGAGAGGGATGTCTGACTAAACCGGCAGTCGGACATCTCCAAAGGGGTCCCAGATTGGAGAGGGTGCAGG